CATCTCCGTGATGACTCTGTAGGTCAGGAATATTGTATTCCAGATTTTCGGTTCCGCCCCACAACGTCACTGTCATTTTTGCCAAAAGAGAAGGTATAGATACATTGGTCATAGACCAGAGATGGATGCCTCTGGAGACTCAACAGACTTCCTGATGCTTCATCATTTGCTTTTTCATATTAACATACAAAAAACCTGAGAAACAACATTGGAAGCTAATTATGAAGCTCACTGGATTCTTGGTTGCTCTTTCCATTAATAAAAGAAGAACTCCCTCTCCCGTGGCTATGAGCCACATGCTCCTACTTGACACTGAACAAGTAAGGACGATGCTCTACTATGACTGGTTGAGCTCCGAGTCCTGCAGCTCCAACCCTGCTAGGCCCCCCTTTAAAACACTTTAGACTGAAAGTGATTGCATTTCCATTTCTTTCTGAATGTGTTCTCAACTTGATGCATACCAAACTTGGAGAAAATATGAATTTGGGGAAATCTCTATGTAACAGAGAGATCATAACAACATCCTGTAATCTATATTGATTTGACCATTTTGCTTAATGATTGTGTGTTTTAGTGCCTGAGATTTATATTCCTGCATTTATTTGTCTATTAGTAATTGGAATATTTATTGTACGCCACAAGGACCAGGAGATGGAATGTAATGAGCATAATATTAAAAGAACATACATGTCTTTTAGACATGTAAAAATAGCTTAGTCAGGAACCCCAATACACCCAAGGCTGTACCTGATAACCAGAACCCCATAATACCACTCATTTAAGATAACCAGACAGTCCTAAGACCCCAGGACACTGGACAGCATATAAGCACATACCAAGAACAATGCTCTGCTCTGCACATCTGAAGAGACATCACCTTGATCAGTCTTGCAGCTGGAGCATCTCCCCCAGAATTCTGACCATTGAATCAGAGACTTCTGTTAGAGACTGGAACTGAACTTCAACTAGGATATGTCACATAGGTGAGTACCCTTAAGGAAATAGACTAAGGACCACATTTAGGAATTTAGAGGGTGAACCTTGTGTGATGACCATAAACAAATATAACTTTTGTTATACTAATTATGCATATCTACCTTCTTGCTCATCAAAGTTAGGATCACTTAGAAACCATTTTGTTTCCTATGATTGAGGATTGGATGTAAGTCTGCATCAGAGTGAGGAAATGGAAACTTTCTCAAATAAAATGCATGGTAACAGACTTTGAAAGAAACAGTATGATTTGTACTATACAGCTAAAGCAATTTGTCTTGCTCTAATTGATTTATAAGTCATAAGAACTTTTAAAGAAAACGTATTCCCATTTTTTATGTGTACAGTGTATGTTCAAGAGAATGACTTCCATGTGTGTACAGGTGACACACAAGAAAAGAGGGTGTCAGTTACCCTGAATCTGGAGTAGTAGGTGGTTATGAAATGCCCAACATGGGTGTTGGGACAGGAACTCAGAGATAATACTGTTTATCCAATAATACAAAAGTATTTCACAGATTAACAACAACAAGAACAAGACTAACTAAATAAAGAGGTAAATAAGTGATCCTTGGGAACATGATGCATCAATATTAAGATGCTGTGAATGGTAAATTTGCACCATATATTGAATACAATCCAAAGACAATACCCAACAATTTAAAATAGGAAAACTGATTTCAAAGCTACATGCAAAGTCGAAACACTCAGAATGTTTAATGGGATTATGAAAAGATAGTGCACACATTGACACAATGTGACTTCCATATTTACCCCAAAAGCTGCAACAATCAAGAATGTGTACATTTGTGAGAAAGACTAAAGAGGATGGAGAGAAAAAGCAAAGAACAAAAGTAGGAAAATACAGTAAAATTTTAATCAAAAGACCAAAGGAAACTCAGCCAGGAAAAGTCTGATCTTGACCAATGGTACCCACCTACCTATGATTCCATGTGTATAGAAATTAAATAAACCCAGGCTTCACAACTTTTACAAAATTAGCTCATGGTAACCCTTAAACTGCCATGTTTTTGCCCTCTGGCTACTGATACTTCCTCCAGAGAGGTACCATGATCTTTGCAAAGAGCAGTGAACTTCTCCAGATCCTGCTACAACTCTGCGGCCCTTCATGCTCCCTTGTGTTTTCAGGCAAACCCAGCTCCAATGATGCCTACACAGAAAACACTGTAGAAGAATAATTTAATATCTGATTCCACCCACAGATTATGTCACAAGATGTGGCATCTGCCCTATCCACCTGCCCAAAACCATGCAAACCTGAGATACCTCTGCAGATCAGAGCTTCCTTTTGTCCCCTGGAACTGACCTTCACTGAATCACACCATGGTGGCTGGCAGTAGCAGAAAGTTAAAAGCATTCTAATCATGTATTGCTGAAGGATGATCCCCATCACTCCCTTTCTACCATTTTCTAAACTGTCTGTAACATTTATAAGACAAAGCTGAAAAGGAAAAGTAACATCCAGAACTTGTAGAAACCAGACCTTCAGTTTTCCAATCTGTCTTCCCAGATTCCCACTATCACAGTAGCAAAGCCTGTGTGTGCACACTGGACGGTGATATTACAAGCATCATAGCCTCCCATGCCAGGGTGGCAGAGCCTTCTCATCCCCAGGGAATCCACACTCAGTAAGGATCAGAGGCCAAGGGACACTGCCCAGGTCACTACAGGGACAAACAAAAGCAGTCTGGCTTATGGTCCATCCCAGTCTCAGCAGCTCAGCCTCTGACAGCTCAGCCAACCCGCTCTTCATAGTTTGAGGACAGTGACCCCCACACTCACCATACCATGGCTGTGGTCTTCCTTACAGCCCCCTACAGCAGAAGCAGAAGATATCCTGGAAATAACCTGTAAGCTCCCTCCCACTGGTGCTCCTGATGCTAAGCCTTCCCAAAGCTCCTCATTCATTAGGACCAACCAGTTGGACCTCAGGACATTAGCAGTTACCCTATTGGGTAAGCAGAGATCCAATGACTCAAACAGCACAAACCTTCCCAGCTCTGCCCTTCCACACTAGGGTTGGACAGGTATATAGTCTGAGAAACTTGTAGTTTAATAAATAGAATCTTCCATTCTCCAGAACACTTCCTGTTCCACTTCAAAGACATAGAGTCCTTTGCATGCACATTCCATTACACACTCAATGCCCAGTGAAGCCAACCCTTTGCTTCAGAGCTGGGAGGTCCTGCAGCCAAACACAGGTCATATTCAAACAGTAGCTGTTGTTAAAGCTGAAACAGGTCATGGATGAGAACACAATGATGGGAGAACTTGGAGCCAGAAAAGTGATAGTGGAAATGGGGTAATTATAATCCAAAAAATTATGTTGGAAAGTTGAAACAGGCTTTATGGCCATGTGCTCCAGAGACTAGGGATGTGTACTAGAGCACACTAAGTACTACTCAAGCCATTTCTCCCAGGCTGTACACCTTAAACCTGGAAAAGAGTCACATTAGGCAGGGCCACACCATTTTATCCACTTCTTCTATTTAAGTTAAACTGGTATAACTACTGTAATTTTGTTTTACAAAAATTCAGTTCTTTACCCAGATTCTTGATTGTCTGGTCTGTGGAACAGAGAAATGGCCAGTCAGAACATTTATGGAATGTCTAAAATCGATGACCTCACTACTCATTGCTACTGTCAACTCCTGTCACAGCAGGAAAGCTTTCACCTCCTTCTTGCCATCCCTTTCTGTGCTGTGACTACACCTGCTTTACTGTGGGTCAGTGAACTCTCTAGATTTCATTGTGAAATTACAGAAGTGGCTGGTTAATCCTGAGGAAAACATTTAAATCTTATCATACTAGCCTCTAAAAACATGGTAAGTGAGGAACCCAGTCCCCTACCTAGACCCCTGCCTTGGCTATTCTGCAGCCATGACAGGCTTCAGAAAAGACCCAACAGGATGTAGGCTCCTGGAACAGCACAATGTGCCCTTGAGCCCCCAACCTTGGGTCTACCTCTAGTTACAGGAAAACCCCTTCAGATGTCCCCATATAGTAGAAGAAGCCAATTAAAAGTTACAGCTAGTAGACTCATGATAAAGAAAAAATGGAGTTACCACAGCAACCACTGAAAGAGCTAGTAGTTTTCCTGCAGCTGCAAGTTAACCAAGGACAGCAACTCTGGATGGGAGGTTCATCAATCCTGAGTCTGTTCCTAAGTAGTCTATAGACCTCACCACCCCCTCTTGCTTTACCCAATAAAAAATCTGCCCCATTGCTGCTTAGGGTCTCTCCTGCTCTGCTGCTGCATCAGGTGAATGGAGAGGCCCTAGTTAACTAGCAAGAATAAAAAGACTCTGCTTTTGCATCGCATTTGGTCTCTTGATGGTCCTTTGGGAACTCTGGGTACATCAGCAAGAGTACTACTTATCTTAGGGATATCTGGGAGACAACCCTCTCTTAGCTTAATTCTACTTTGTGACTTAATGTCTCCTAAAAATGGGTAAATCCTTATACCGTCAATTCTATTACCTTCGTTCTACTCTTCTACATCACAGTTTAGCAGTGGAGTGCTACTCTACACAGGAGATGCCCTTTATAAGCTCCACGAGATTAACAACAGACAAATCGTAACCTAAATGTTAAAAGTGCAGAACTTCTGAAAGATACTAGAGAGACCAGGGCTCTCCCATTTTGGCAAATCTGCTTTCCAAGGTGACAATACAAGCACTACAGGAGCCAGCATTTCATAGTGACATCAACAATAAGAATATTTCTAAGTCTTGTTCCCAATGCTCTGCACAGACACAGCCCAAGGAGTTAAGTTATTCAGAGACTGCCGCCCCAGCCCAGGAAGTTGCAAGGATCATGTAGGACACGCAGGACCAGGAAGGCACACGTGGGACTCGCAGGGCCACACATGAGGAGGCAGGACCATGCCGAACTCTGCATCTGGCTGCTGACTCCCACGCAGCCCCGAGAGGACCTGGCTCCCACTGCCTCTCCTCCCAGTCTGGGGAAAGTAGTCTGTCACTCACCATGGCCGGCCACTCCTCCCGTCTGGGAACAGAAGCCCCTCGATCTCCGTGTGGGGGCTGCGGAGCGCTCTGGACACAGCAGATCGCAGACCCCACCGCACAGTACACCGACCAGCTTCCCATTTCCTCAGCACAGGGGCTGAGCCAGATGCCTCCTGCCTAGAGGAAGAACCCTCCCATCTGACTGGCAGGTCCACTAGAGGCCCTAATTGGCTGGCGAGGCCTGAGTGACAGGACTGGGTGAGCTGAAGGGACTCAGCTCAGTGTTTCCCTGCCCTAGCTTCCAACTGAAGCATAAATGTATCCCAGGTTGGCTGGAAATTTGCGCCAAATTCCACAGAAAGTCTCTAGTTAATAAACAAAACAAAACAAAACGAAACAAAACAAACAAACAAACAAAAAAACAACAATGAGTTCAGTTTGAAAAGGAAGCATTCCATTTCAGAAGGAGGCTAATCTGACAATATTGCACAAGAGGAACATGGTATCTCTAGAACATTATAAAAAAAAAAGTCCACAGTAGCTGGGACTGATTACCACAGCCCCAGGTGTGGAAAGAGATGGTTCTCAGGATCTGAAGTAACCCCTTCCCAAAGGCCCTGGTCCCAGACCTTTACCAGCTCTCCCAAGCATAATCCTACTTTTAGAGAAGGAACTTTTTTCCCCCTCTGTGGGAGCCCGTTTTCAGGTTCCTTGTGGCTTTACCCAGCAGGTCCACATAGAGGATGATTAGGCCCACGGGCTTGAGCTCAGGTGTCCTAGAAGGTCTGCACTTGGCTGGGCTTGGAGAGGAGGTCTTTTGCTCCACCCCTTGGCATCTCTATAAATACCCTGGGGCAGAGACAGTCAGGGCCCATTGAAAAAGGTTCCAGGCCCTTTTGAGGCTATCCTTTATTTTCTATCTGTTTATCTCCACAATAAATCCTTCTATCTAATATTTCCTGCTGCTCACACTCAAGAAAACTCTGGGGAATTGTGGGATTGGTGGGTAAACGCCCCACACTCCTCCCATCATGGCCTTAGAGAAACCTTCCAAAGACTACCCGGGTTGGAAAACTGAGAGAGGCATAATTTGTCAAGTATCTTCTAGAAGTTCTGCACTTTGAATTTGACATTTATGTGTAAGATCCACTTGGAGTTAATATTGTGGAGATTACAAATGTCATCTTGTTGGGGGCCGACTCCGGACAGCTGTGTCTTGAATTTTGTGTGACCTTCCTTACTTTATCAAACCTTGCAAAAACAGGTTCCTGGCCTAACCTCAGGCTGTACAACTTCCGGTAGTACGTGCTAATCAGTTAGCTGCAGGGGCCTGGGACCAAAGCGACCTCACCCTTCCTCGGGAATTTTTCATTCTTCTCTCTCTGCTTCCCCTGCTCCCCCTCCCTGCCTGAAGCCCTGCTTATAAACCTCAATACCCAGTCAATAAACGAGACCTTGACGCGACTCAGACTGACTCTGTCTTCCCTTATTGCGCCTGGTCTCCTTTCTCTCTCACCCCCATTGATCTTTCAGGAGGTGCCGCCTTGGGTCTCCCCAATAACCTGGCCCGCGGGATGGGTCAAGTGGCGCCCGAACGTGGGGCTTGAGGTACGGTGACCTGCCAGACGACAACAGAAGGGCCCCCGGAGAGGATCAGGATAGAGACGCCCGGACCGCATCACTCGTGCAACGCGGGAGAGTCTTGAGGTAAGTATGTCGTCCCATCGATCATGGGCAAAAATTTATCTAAAGAGGCTGTTTTTCTCAAGGAGATGAAAGGTAATCTTAGGGAGAGAGGAATAAGAGTTAAGAAAAAGGATTTGAGGCCAGGCAGTGGTGGCGCATGCCTTTAATCCCAGCACTCGGGAGGCAGAGCCAGGCGGATCTTTGTGAGTTCGAGGCCAGCCTGGTCTACAGAGCGAGATCCAGGAAAGCAGCAAAGCTACACAGAGAAACCCTGTCTCGAAAAACCAAAAAAGAAAAAGGATTTGATAAAATTCTTCCAATATGTGGAGGAGAAATGTCCCTGGTTAGTGATTAATGGACCAGGAATTCACCCTTTGACTTGGAACAAGGTTGGAAAAGATATTAACAAATTACTCAGAGATGGGGAAAATGTCCCCATGCCTTTTTTAGTTTTTATGGTGTGATTAGAGATGTTCTAAAGGAAGCAGAGGGAGATGGGCATGTTTCACATTTACTAGCCCTTGCAGAGGATTTTCTCTCAAACTCCCCCTGCCTGACACCCAAGGGTCCAGAGGTTTATTGACATCTACCGGTATGAGCGCTCTCTGTCTTGTCTGTGTCTCTCTGTCTTGTTACTTTTGTTTTGTACTTTGCAGGCTTGATTTGTATTTTGCAGGCTCTCACTGGGACAGACGTGTCCGGACAGTGAACCTGGCGGCCAAGGGAGACGTCCCAGAGCCCTAAGGCCACCTCAGAGGTGACCATTTGGTTTAGGAGCATCTTTGGGTATCTTCCCCCACGGTGGGAGGAAGTGCCACTTTGTATTTTGTCCCGGGAAATTGTCAGAGCCATTTTGTGGGGTTTTTTTTTGTGTGTGTGTGTGTTTTGTTGTGATCATTGTTACTTTACTCTCTCCTTCTCTTCCAAGAAAAAAAAAAGGTGCATGTCTGACTGACAGGGATGTGGAAGCCCCTGATGTCTGTTTGATTAAGGACGGAGATCCTCCAGTCTGGATTGTTTTTGGTGTGATTGAGCCTGGAGGGTTGCCCTCCCCCCACCCAGAGCACATCAGGCTGTCATTGTTCTTGGAACTTTGTTGGTTGTTTTGTTGGGGCAAAGTTTTTTCGTGTGCCCTTGGTCTTGTGTGTAATGTATTAACTGTTCTCATTGTTGACTTGACTGTGACGGACGCTATGGGACAGTTTCCTTCTTCTCCACTAGACCTTTGCCTAGCCCACTGGAAGAATGTGTGAGCCACAATAGAGGGAACTGGGTTCCCCACCCCCACTCCCCGATTGAACTGAGATAAACAGGTAGCTCCTGCCAGGTGTGGCTTGCATACCGTAAGAGGGACTTGCTGGCTGTTAATGAGGCCATCCTCTCAGTGCTGATGTTCCGGTTGGTTCTTGGATTGTCTGTGTAAATGTTATTTGTTTCTGTCTACTAACCTCCGTTATTTTCCTAAAGGAAGAGGAGGAAAGAGAGGCATAACAAAGGCCACCTCCGTCCCTCCTTAGCTCTCTTGCTATCAGGACTGCAGCCAGCTGGCCGCTCTCACGAGGGTGGGGTGCCTGCTCTCGGTACAGGCGGGCAAAGACAGGAGCTCTGGACAGGGTAATGGGAACTGCCTGCAATTGACAAAAACTGTGTGAACACTGAACAGAGAATCTGACTTTAGTCAGAGGAGTTAACAAAAACTTTTTTTCAGGAACACTGGCAGCCAAGGACATGCTCTATGCCCACTGCTCCCCTTCCCTTCCTTTACTGTGATAACTTCAAGGTCTCTTCTGCCGGCCAGCAGCTTCTCTTGTTAACCCTTCTCTGTCCTGGTATTGCTTAAAAAGAAATGTTAAAATTATCAGTTCAAGATACTGGGAAAATTATGCTTTTGTTTCCACAGGAAAAATAAAAATTTACATGGTGTGAAACCTCAATAACCCCCCCTTCCTCTATCCCCTACAGACAAAGAGGAGCCTAAACCAGGATTCCTAAGTGTAGATAAGAAGTTAGACCCCTTTTTCCCAGGTGGCTTTATCAGCTACAGAAACTTAAAAAAAAAAAACACAGAGTCCGAATATATGACCATCTGACAGAGGCTAAGTGGTCATAAAACATCCCAAACTTCTCGAACCCCGGAGACAGCTCGTAAAACTCCTAGACACGGTTGTTTAACAAACAAAAAATAAAGATAACATACTGATATGAACCAGAAAGAATGGAGGCAGGCTATGAGAGATGAATTATGTGGTCTGTGCCTTTAAGAACTAGCCTCACAAAGAAAGGGCACGCTCCTTCCAATCTCCCTGCTGTGCGTGAGAGATTTGGAACGAGCCCCCTGCCGCGGCTTGTAAACTTTGACTTCATCTGAATAAACCTTGCTTTTTGCATTCTGTACCTAAGTCTCCAGGAGGGTTCTTTGGGGGCGATCTGGGCATAGCAATGGGTTTTGGTCATTTGAGTTCAATGGGTTACAAATACTTGCCATCATTTAAGAGAATTGGTTTCAAATTATTGTTGGTTAAGATAAAAAAAAATGTTTTAAAAAAATATGTAAAATGCAAGTTATTAGAATATGTAAAAGCAAGGTATAAAGGTCTGAGGATAAAGAGGCTTAAATAATGATCTAAAAAAATGACTTGAGATATATAAAAAAAAAAATGAAACATGTTTCAGATTTCTTTGTCTTGCTATTCTGCTGTTACATTGAGACTCCAAAGGGTTATAGGTGTAAAAATGTCTGTCTACTGTACAGGTATGAATGAAAAATGTGGCCACATGTATGTTTGGTTTTGAATGTCTGAGTTTGCATGTCCTTTATGTTAAGGAATACAAGTTAATACTAGTCATCTGGCTATTCAGATACTAGTTTAAAGCATAAACTGTTCTATTTAAAAAAAAAATGAGAGGTATATTTGACTAATATATCTATAAGAGAACAAATTGGCCTGGTTATTGTTACCAAACTTAGAGATATTTTCAAGATTGGGCCTAGATTTGTTTGGCTCAGATACATTTAATAGATAATGGTCCTCAAACCTGTCAAAGATCTGATAAATATGGCATTTACATTATTTGATAAAAAGCTTACTATAGCAAACAGAGACTCCAAGCTCCCCAGCTCCTAGCAATGACTCCCAAGGTCTCCAAAGAAGATATGGAACAATGACAAAAAGATGCCACCTAAATTGCGGACAACACCGACCACTGGGCAAGACGCTCTGACTCAACACCTGCTGACAGGGATTTGGCCTATGAGACACTGTCAAGATAAGGTCAGTTTTTACCAAGCTGCTCCTCAACAGGGAGAATTTCACATTATGGGCCCAGTAGCCAAGACTGATGCTGTCCTGACACCTGTCCTGCCAACACTATGAAGACTATAGGAGCCTGGGATGATGGCAGTCTGGGTTATGGATAGTCTATGTTGTTTTTTTTTTTTTAATAGATTTAAAAGTCTGCACTCAGGTAAAGTTTATCCTTCTCAGATC